TATATATATATATATATATATATATATATATATATATATAGGGTAAACCTTACAACAGCTGGGCAGCTATAATGAATAGTACATAGGTGGAATGGGAGCCGTCAGATCTTCATCATGCGGTTCAAAATGTACATCACTATTTTAGTTTTAAGTTCTTTTATATAAATATGTTTAATATGAAATTTTGGGTGTATATACCTAACACTATTGTGCACCACAATGGTTTAAAAAGCGGATCAGTGACCCGGATCGGGCACCTTAAAAACCGATCCGGATCAAGAATCGGTTGAGTCGGTCAGATTAAAGCTTCAAAATAATCCGAAAAAGTTATTAAAATTCAATTTAAATATTGTTTTTTAGGAATCCAATAAGAAATGAGGGTACTACATTATTTTAACTTTCATTTTTTCAATCAATTTGTGAATATTGAGATGGTCTTTCCCTAGATAAACTTAAGTATTAAATTGGCATCACATAAAAGAAAAATCATAGAATTATCATAGATAAAATATATAATTATACATGGACTATAATAAAGAGTAGACTAAATAAATGAAAGAATGGCCATTAAAATCTCGTTTTGGCGAAAAACCGTAATGCTCTAAAAAAACCCAAATTATTACAGCCTAACTAACTATAATCCAAAATTATTAGAACCTAACTAATTATAATATTATATACTGAAATTATAATTATTAGTTTATATTTTATAATTATTTTATTAGATAAATAATAACAAATTAAAAATATTTTATAATATTGTCTAATTTAAAATATATTATTGCCAACTGTAAGAAAAATAGTACATTACATAATTTATAATGTAAAAATTAATAAATAAAATAAAAGCTTTGGGTTTCAATGTAAATATTAATAAAATGTGAACAAATTTTGAAAATAACACTTTAATTTATTATATGCCCAAGGGGGAACAAAAATTAGCTTAAGAAGGGATAAACTATTATATAACCCAAGGGGGGATTTGAACTAGAAGTCAAAGCAAATAACATTAGTGATAACCATCATATTAATAGCATATATTTATATTCTGTTTTCATTTAATGATGTTTGAGAATTATCCCACATCGAAGGATGAGTATTCAAATATGCTATATAAATAACTATGTAATTGGAAGATAAACACAAGTGTGAAAATACTTAGGATAAACATAAGTAAAATACTTGGGCATCCGTGCACATGAACCAGTGCATGTGCATGTCGCACGTGTGGCACATGTAGGAGTGGTGTGTGACACGTACACAAGTGTGAAGGTGTTTTTGAGGTCTGAAACGGCTAGAACCGGTGCACACGTGCATGCTTGCGTGTCGCACGTGGGAGTGTGTACCCGCTCGTGTCACACACACGTACACACATGTGGGAGTGGTGGGACACTGCATGCGTGACGCGTACACACGTGTGCTTTTCCGGCTAGAATCGAGAGGGAACCCGGACAGAACCGGGTGGGAACCAACGA